CCCCCTTTTCTTAAATCTACAATGTTTTGTGACATATGTCAAGGATTTCTTAAAATTACCTGACTAGTCCCTATCTATTACAAGATCCTCAAAAAGCTGCAGAACATAAAAGCAGTATGTCAAGTGTTACTCTAGCAAGACAAAAATAGGAAGTGAAGTCAAAGAACCAAATCCTGCTGTTCATGACACCACTCTAAGTCAAGAGATGCTCCTTGAAAGCCATACCTGACAGAAGTTATTGGGCCGGAAAATATCAGACTTAATTCTCTTGGTCTTATACGTTACTATCCATTTACTGTGGTTTGAGTTCAGGCTTGACAATCGACTACTTGGTACTTACAATGAAAGGACAGCAAGCAGCCTGTTATTTGGTAGAGAGTACAAAGGAGTCTTTCTGCCTGTCTACTTTCTAGTCAGCTTATTCTTCCAACAACCTAAGAAATGTATTGCAATCTGCAATAAAAAAAAAGTGGTTCTGTAGATAAGTCTGAAATACAGTTCGGTGTATACTCAAACAATGGACATAAGACAACTGAGTCCACTCTCTAAAAAAGACTATTTACTTTTTTTTTTTTAAATTTTTATAAAAAAATCTCCAGGTGAACTACAGTGGCAAAAAGTGTTGCAGGTTAAAAAACCCAATCAATCCACTCTCCCCAAAAAACAGCAAAAGGAAAAAAAAAACCAACAGTAATTTTGAACAACATAGGCCTTTTTGCTCATTATATAAGGACTGTCTAAGGGACAGCTGCATCGAGTATTCTTAAGGTTAACAGATACTAAAATAACAAATTCATACATTGGGCATACACACCCCACATGTTTATGAACAGTGTATGCACATAAACACATGGTAAAAGCAGTTATCAACATTTTGTAGACTTTTAAATTCTTTTTTTTTTTAAATCTTTTGGCTGATGATGCTGAGTTGCTAAGACTTTTTAACTAATAAGTGCAGCTCAAATGACTTTGGGTACTTTGAAACAAGCATTACAAGCTCTATCTATTCACTTAGTGTTTCTGGATGAAAGAACAGCCCTATTAAAATCAAAGGCCAACTCCTACTGACTTAAGTGGCTTAATACGCTCTAAAATCCACAGCTCCAATTTTGCTCTCCTTTCTACTAATGAAAATACTAAATAATTGCTCTTAAGTCAGTACACACCCATAGGATAAAGATGAAAAAAGAGCAGAAGGGTCATTTTACTTTATAGCTTAGTTTGATACTTGTGTGACTGATTAACTTCAGTGTCACAGACAAAGAACGTAAATAAGTGCCTTTGATTCGTATGTTTATATAAAATAATAGAAAATCTGGGATATCAAATTGACCCATGATAAAATTGCATCATGAAAGACTGATTGGGAAGGGTATTGATGTTTTAGAATATGTTATGAATGAAAGAGGCTTCTGGAAAGACTCTTAAGAAGAAGCAGAAAGAGATGCTCAAATACTGTGCCAAATGAACGTGAGGCTTTAATCAAGAGAGAGATTAACTCCTTACTTTTACAAGAAATAAAAACTGATGTCAACTATATAAAAAGACAATTATTCAAAAAACCCCAGAAACATCTGGTCAAGTATGCAATGGTCATTGGTATGCATATGGTACCTGTTTGCCTCTGTGGCATACCTTCCAGGCGCTCTGCTACAACTCCCATTTTGGAAGAGTTAATGGTTTCTGTTATTTGTACAGCATGGACAGTGCTCTGACACCACAGAATTACTGCTATTAACCCTCCTCTGCTCACATGGTCCTATGCTGTCTTGGAAAAATGGCCTTTAATCATTTAATAGTTTGGCTCTTTTGAACCATTAGCAAATCCACCAATTAGATGGATTTGGAATTCGGAATAGTATAAACCCAACATTCCTATGTACAACTGAAAGGAGTATACTACAGCAAGCCAATCTTGGGTTTATACCATCTACAGTTCTGTAAAAAATAAAATCCTTTTCCCAAAGAGCTGAGAGAAAATAAATGCTTTGCTTGCCTTGTGAAAAAAAAGAGAGAAAAAAAAAAAACCCCAAACACCTTTCAAATTTCACAGACACTTTCATGCTCAAGTTCTCATTGCTGGAGTGTATTCTGGTTAGCCTGTAGTCTTGTTTTGCTAGGACTGAATGCAGTAGTGTTCCTGAACTATCACTAGCAATAACTCAGACAACTAACACAGTCTTGTAAGGACTTCTAATTTTCCCCATGTTCACATTTTAGAAAACAAATTCTTTTAAGAGTTTAACGAATTATATTGCAGAACTTCTCACTGCACAATTGATAATAAAATTAAATGTAAATTATAAAGGTCAATTTCCCTTTGCATTTTCATATTTGCAGGCACACTTTTTTATCACAAAAACTTATTAAAAATATCATACATATTTGTATGAGCAACAGTCAAGCCCATGTGTTTGGTAAACTTCAATATAACTTCGCCAAACTTTGGTTTTCAATAAGAATAACAGTAATAATAATAATAGTAATAAAAAAATATCACACACCAGATCCTGATACACTGCCAGGGTTTTAATTCTTTCAACATACACGCAGGCCACGTGTTCCTGCAACCACAAGGCACAGGCCTTCCGACTCTCACGACGCTGAGATTCCTACACAGGCTTTCGACTGCAACAGGTGCAACTGACAAAACTTTCAGTAAGATTAATTCAAGCTCGAAAGTCTGCTTTAAAGAAAAGCCTGCTCCCAGGCCTCATAAGAAAAACCAAGCAAGCAAAACCCCGCCAAACCACCGAATAATACCGTGGGGAAAGCGGAAGGAGAGATCTGCAGGGGAGCAGGAGGAGCCCCAGAAGGTCCCGTTGCACAGGACCACGACGATTCACCCGGTAACAGGCAAGGCTCTGGAGGGGCGCAGGGACTGCCTAGCTCTGCGCAGGCAGCCTCAGGAGGAGGCTCAAGCCCAAACCCCCCGCGGCGAGCCCAGCTGTGGGCCAACGGTAGAGCCGAACCCTGACGAGCCGCCCAGGCTCGGCCTTGCGGCGGCCCCCGCCGCCTCACAACGTCTCTCGGAGGGAGGCGGCACTTACCGAGCCCCAGCACCGGGATGCTCCGGCCGTTGGCGAGCGGCAGCGCAGGACAACCGTGCGCCCCGCCCCCCCCGCCGCCATACTTAACGGCTGCGGCCCGCGCGCTCCCCGACGGGGGGGG